TTGCAGGGGTGGAGGAGAGAATCACAGCTGAGTATGCCAAGTACCCCCAGTCCCTCCAGCCGGGACACTCCAGTGGGGGGAGGGGCAGGCACAGAGCCCAGCCTCCGGGTTAGCACAGCAGGGAGGAAGCCATTCCAGCCTGCAGACTGCCCCCAACCCAGCACAGGGACTTGAACTCAGCGCCTTTACACAGAACTACATCTCCTGCCCTCCCTTTTTCTATTTTTGTGCTTTGAAGGGTCTCTAAGTTGCTGAGGCTGGGCTCAAACTTTTGATCCTCCTGCCTCAGCCTCCCAGAGTGGTAGGAATTACAGGCATGTGTCACCATGCCTGGCTATACAGAACTCTTATGCAAGCAGACATCCCTCTGTGTGCTCCCAAGGGGAGGACTCGGGGTCTCTGGCAAGGCCTCTACTTCACATCTAACATACCATCTCTTGCCCTGGGGAGAAAGAAAGCTCAGAGGTAGAGTGTTTGCCTAGCATGGTGAAACTCTGGATTCAATCCTTAATACCACCCCTGCACATACACACACAAGCACCATCTCTCTGATGCCTGAAATTTCGCTTCTAGAAAGTATTCTTCTGAGTTAAGGACTGGTCTCTCTTTTCCAGAGTTTCTCTTATTTGTTCCAAAGCAATTCTTTTACTTATTTTTTAAATTTCCAGCGACATACCTTTCTTATAGAAAAAGAAACCCCAAAAAACATACTATGGATGGCTTTTATTTTCTTTCCTCTTTAACTGTGGCTGAAGTTTGGAGTGTTCTTCAACATTCATTTTTGCTTCTTTTGGGGGAGGGAAGACCCTAATTGTAGTCTAGGTGGCAACGTCTCTTACTAGGTTTTGGCAATGAGATAAGTGAAAGTGTTCTGTTGGGCTCCCCAGTTTTTCTTCCTTTCTATAGAGCTTTAGTGTTTCTTCCTTTCCTCCTTCCAGCCTACAACCCAGTGTGTTATGAGGACTGGAGCACACTAGCAGCCATCTTGGATCACGAGGTTACCTTGATAATGGAAACCAATGCCAACATAGTATTCAAGCCTTTTGAATACTTCAGGTCTCCATACTAGTCTTGGGCTGCTCACCTCTTACATGTTAAAGAAAAATTTATATTTTTAAGCTGTTCTTATTTTGAATATTCTGCCACAAGCAGCTGAACTGAATCCTACCTGTTGTACCAACTGTCAGAAACTGGCTCAACAGTGGCAGCACCATAGCTGATTGAACTTGAAGTGGTTGCCTGAACCCAGTGGAACTACCTGTAGGCTACAGGAAGCCAGACGCTCCCTCTCACAGATGAGAAGTCACAAAACTAATTAATTGGTATTAGGGCTTGAGACAAAGAGTCCCATCATCATGGGGTGCTTGGGGCCACCATTTTGGAACATTTATGAGGCCATGTGCATAAGACAAGACAGGTATCTCCTGGGAGAGAAGATGGCGGTAAACACAGCAGGAGAGATGAGAGTGCAAGGAGCTCATGGGAGCAGGAAGAAGTTGGAGAGAGCAGTGGAGGGGGACTTCTCAGGTCCCTTGAGTCCACGCTGTGCCATCTGCAATCAGGTTGGATGCTAATTCCAGTTTCCTAACAGTGCCCCACCCCTAGCTTTTCAACTTCAGCAGCTTGAGTGAGTTTCTGTCTCTTGCAATTAGCAGATACCTAATACAGCCTTCCTAATGTCTCATAATTGCCATTTTCACCACCTAGTTTCTCTTAAAATACAAATACTCCTGAGGAAGTGTAATGGTTTAGATCTAGAATGGCTCCCCAAAGTCTCCTGTGCTCAGAGATAGATCCTTGGGAAGGGGATTGGATCATGGGGGTGATATGTTCATCAGTGGATCAGTCCACTCATCAGTTTGTAGCTGACTGTGCCTGTTAGGAGGTGGAGCCTGGCTGGAAGACTCAGGGCACTGGGAGCATGATCTGGAAGGATGCATCTCCCTCCCCAGCGCTTCCCTTTTCTTTCTGCTTCCTGGCTGCCATGGGCTGATCAGCTTTCCTCCACCAGGCCTTTCTACCATGCTCTTTCTGCCTTGCAGCTAGCTGACCATGGACTGAATCTCCCAAACTATGAGCCAAATTAAACCTCTCCTCCTTTAAGTTGTGGGTGTCAGGCATTTTGTCCCAGTGATGGGAATGTGACTAACATAGGAAGGAATGTGCATATCACTGATACTTTAAGATAAATTGCTTTTGTCATCTTCCTGAGTGGAGGAAAGGAAGGAGGAGGTAGGCAGGTAGCATGAGTCTCAGGGAAGAGGATACTCAAGGATTAGAAAGTAGCTGTGAAGATCTGAGGCAGAATGGCTGCCCTCACAATTATGCTTCAGTTCAGCACTGCAGGCAGAACCATTTCCCTGGTTTGAGGTCAGCAAGACTGGCTACAGAATTCCTGCAGAGTTGCTCCAGAGCACAGGGGTATAATAGAGATGGTCAAAGATTAGCCAGAAGTGCAACTCAGGTGTGGTGGCACAAGCCTACTGTAATCCTGACACTTGGGAGCCTGAGTCAGGAGGGTTGCAAGTTTGAGGCCAGGCTGGGAAACTTAGCAAGACCCTTTCTTCAAAAAAAAAAAAGTTTTAGAGAAGTATGGTATCTCTAGACCCCTACCTAGTCCTGCAAAAATTTAAGATGCTTTTATTTTGCCCCAAGAGAGTGTGGAGTTTCTTTATTCTGTTGCACTGGAAACTTGCCACTTGAGTAGTTTCTCCCTCCCTCTCTCATCTCAGACAATAAACTGTTAATGAATAAGAATTAAAGCTCAGCATTCTCAGTTATCCACCAAAACAAGTGGCTCTTTCAATGGCTGGCTTGCAGGAAAGGCTCTGGAAAAACCCATCCTCTAAAAGCCTTCAACGGCAAGTCCCAAAAGCTTGTTTTTAGTGATGTGAACTTATTATACCCTTCCTCATTCCACAAGGGACCTGAGTGGCCTCCTGACTCTGTGGTCATCAGATTCACCACTCCAAACATGTCATCAACACAGGCACTATAATTTGGATCTGAAATATCTTCCAAAGGCCCACGTGGTAAAGGCTTAGTTCCCAGCTTGGTATTATTGGAAAGTGGTGGCCCCTTTAAGAAGTGGGGCTTACTGAAGGTCTGCTCACCAGGGCCATGGCCCCAAAGAAAGATGCAGGGACCCTGCCCCTTCCTCCTCATTTTTTGATTTCCTTCCATGAGGTGAATGGGCTTCTTCCACCACATATCTCTGCCATGATGTTCTGCTCTGCCAGAGGCCAGATGCAGTGTAGCCAACTGGTCACAAACTGAAACCTCCAAAACTTAGAGCCAAAATAAACTATCTCTCTCTTTAAGTTGATGTGCCTCAGGTATTTGTTATAGCAATGGAGAGCTGACACAGCTGGGTATATGCAAAGGGCTAGAAATGTAATAGTGGCCAACCTGAGCAGATTACTGAGTGTCAGCAAGGCATCATCTGTGATTTATATGGATTAACTCAGTTTGTGACAGGTGACCTTCTTTCACTGAATCAACAGTATCATCAACTCTGAGTTAATACAATATGAATTAAGAAAGAAAAGGAGAATCTGTCAACTAACTGGAAGATGCAGTACCAGCCAGGATATGATAGATTCCATTGTAGAACACAGAGTCCCTGGCCAGAGATGTGGCTCAGTAGTAGAGTGCCTGCCTCACATGCACAAGACTTTGGGTTCAATCTGCAGTGCTGAAAAAAGAGAAGAAAAAAAAGCCAGATGTGGTGTTGCACACCTGTAATCCCAGCACTAAGGAGGCTGAGGTAGGAGGATTGTGAGTTTGAGGCCAGCCTGGGCTACATAGCAAAAACAATAAACAAACAAACAAAAAGCCCCAAATCTCAATGGCTAAAAGGAGAAAGGCTTATGCTTTTATCCCCTTAGATGCCCACTGGCTGCAGCTCAGTTTGCTTTCATCTTTCCTCTGACATCCAGGCCCATGAAATAGCTCCTGTATAGAACTTTGCTCACTTTGCAGTAGAAGGAAAAGAGCATGGAGTGGATCACAGTGTCCTTTTTGTTGTGGTAATGCTACTAGAAGAATGGACCCAGACCCTCATGCATGCTAGGTGAGCACTCTATCCCAGAGCTATATCCCCAGCCCTTTAAAAATTTTTATTTTGAGACAGGGCCTTACTAAACCGCCCAGCCTGTGCTCAAACTTGGGACCCCACTGCTTTAGCCTCCTGCGCAGCTGGGATTATAGGTGGCCACAGTTGTGTTAGAGCTTCAGCCTAGATGAATGTATGTCACTTCCCTTCACTCTCCCATGGCCAGAGCAATTCACTTGGCCACCTTGGGCTCGGCAGCGGGGATGTGGGCTCTGCCTATAAAGCAGCACTGCAGGGGTGCCACAGCACACAGAAATAGGATTTCCCTCTCCCACGTCAACTGTAAAGCATCCTGATCTTGGAGATATTGAAATATAGGAAGATAGTAGATCAGGAATTGATGATGTGGAGCTATGTTCCCCCAGTATATGGGTCAGGAATGGAGACCTGGGTAGGGCATAAAAGGTGCTTGGCATCTTAGAGTGGCAGAGCTGGGGCTTCAGCCCAGGTATCACCGAATCATCTCTAGTCACCCTACTACACACCTGTGTGTAGCCCAAATGAGGATTTTTCAGATGCTAGAGAAGCCTAGAGATCCCCGTAAATTACTCCCAACTTTTGGTACTGGGGATTGAATCCTCCAGGGCTTTTGCACTGAGCCACATCCCCAGCCCTTATTTTTCATTTGTGACAAGGTCTTGCCAAGTTGCTATATTGCTCAGGCTGGGCTAGAACTTGCCATCCTCCTGCCTCGGCCTTCCAGAGGGTCTTCACTTATGAATATAATATGTACAATTTTTCTGTGGTTTGTGTGTGTGTGTGTTGTTTTGTTTTTGTAGTCCTGGACATCAAACTCAGGACCTTGTGCGTAATGGGCAAATACTCTCCCACTGAATTGCACTCCCAGTCTATTAATCATTTTTTAAAACTTTTATTTAAACATGTACTGAGTCAGGACAGTGCTAGGCCCAACAATGATGGGAAGGTCTCAAATTCCTTTAAACAAAACATCCCAGGCCAGCCAGGGGTCACAAGGAAGGATCCACGAAGGTCAGGCTTGGTAGTGCAGAGGAAGGCTGTGCTCAGAGGGTAAGATACATGTGGCCCCTTCCCATACTGGGCCGGCCCTGGTCGTAAATCGTCCATAAAGAGAGGGACTGTTTACTCTAGGCAGAGGCCTGGGGGCCGCGGGTCGGGTGCCAAGAAGCCAGTGAGCTGGCCGTTGGAATGTGAGTGTGGGTGGGGTGGGGGAAGTGGCCACCAGCTTCCACTGAGTCACAGAGGGCTGTGTGGGGGAGGGCGGCTGGCTCCACCTTGGCGCGGCAGGAAAGAGCAGCCAGGAAGAGCTGGGGTGGGGTGGGGTGGGGCAGGCAGGGCTGGCTCTGCAGCAGGTCCCCCGCTGGCACAGGGGCCTTGGGCACAGACCTGCCTGGGAAAACCACCTGGAATTCAGAGGCCACTGAATTCAGGGGATGGAAATCGGGGTGTCTTGAGAGCGTCGGGAACCCCTGCCTTTGTCTATTGGCTGGTGACAGAGACAGATTTTGAGAAGTAGAAGTTTAGGGTCCTCTAGGTGCCACTTCTCTCTCCCAGAGTGAGGAGTTCCATGCGAGCAGGCTTTCAAACATATTAAAGGCGGGAAGAAGAGAAGCTGGGATTAGAAGGAAGTAGAAAGACTGGATGGGGGAGGACAAAACACAGACGGGACTGAAGGCAGCTCCAGGCGGCTCCCTAGGAGCTGCCATAAACCGGAGTGTGCAGCGGTGGCTTCCAACGGAGGGGAAGTGTGGGGAGAATAGCTGCACCCCTGCCCAGAGCCCCAGGCTCCCCTCTGTGGTCCCTGGAGAGAGGGGGGTCCCTCAGGTTCCACCCAGCTGCCTCCCACCTCCACATTCCTCTCCCAGACTCACCTCCCGGCCTGTACTGCGGTGATCCCTGCTCTTGTCCATCTGGAGCTTTGCCTCAGGTCCTCCTCACATCCATGTCCTGTTGTCATTCCATCCTTCAAGGCCACACTCCTAGGCTATTTCAGCCCTGGCTGAGCCAGCGTGTCTGAGGACTCAAGGTGCAAACAACCTGCCTCAACTGAAAGGGCAAAGGCAGAGTATAGTGTCTCCTGTAACTACCCGCAGAAAGTTCCAGTTAGAGCTGGCCGTGGGGAGCCCTGGGACAGACAGCTCTCTACAGCGCATGTTGGCACATGCCCGCAGTCACAGCTACTTGGAAGGCTGAGGCAGGAGGATCCCCTAAACACAGAGTTTGAGACTAGCCTGGACAATGCAGGGAGACTCCATCTAAAAAAATCAAACCAAGCAAAACTCAAAAACAAAGAAGAAGAATGAGGAGAAGGAGGAAAAGGAGGGCAGGAAGAAGAGAAGGAGAACAGTGGTGTAAGGCATGAGAAAGGGGTAGATATTCCAAAGCCAGGGAGACAAGGGCAAAGAGGTGAGTGTTTTGTTCTAGGATTGATGTGCTTGGATAGAGCAGAAGATTTTTATGAAGAAGTTATTGGAGGTTTATGCAGAATTGACAGACTGGTTAAAGCTGATGAGTGTGTGATGTATCCCACAGGCAAAAGAGCCAGTGAAAAATCTGAACAGGTAAAAATCTAAAGCTGAACTGTGTTCATATCCCACTTGCCCACTGTGGTCTCTGTGATGGACACTGTTGACTTCACACAGGAGTCTTCCCTCACGTCTTTCTTCCCAGGAGAGCTACAAGTCTGCCCAAGATCTGCTTCTCCCCTACACAGCCATATTTCTCACACAGTGCTCCGCCTGGGTCTCTCTTGCCAATGATTGGTCCTATGGTTAGAACATGACTGGTCCTGTCCAATGAGAGTGAAGGGAAGCCCACTGGGGCACTCTGAGAAACCCATGAAAGAAAGTCTTCCTCCTTACGATGGATGATGTCGTGTCCTGAGGTGGCCATTTTGCCATTAGTTTGAGGATACAGTTAGCAGTGAAGGGGGCAGAGCAGAGAGAGACAAGAACTTGAGAGCTGGCGTGTCTCAGGGGTGGAGCACTTGTCTAGTATGCAGGTGGCACTGGGTTCCATCTCTAGATCCATAAAAAACAACTACCAACAACCTGATTCTCTGACTATGTTGTTGAGCCACTGAATCAGCCATCCTGAAACCTGCCGTTCTTGTTGCATGATGTAAGACATTTTTGTATTGTTCAAGCCAGTCTGAGTCAGAGTTTTATGTCACTTGCAGTCCAGAGCAACTTCATTGCTTTCCTACCAGGTCTTGAATGTTTTCTTCCCCCTCTCTCTAGTGAACTCATTGGAAACTGGTTCCTCGACCCTTCTCGTTTCTCTGTTTCATCTACCACCTCCTGTTCTTACTGTCTTTATGTCGTCTCAGAGTCCTAGCATAATAGTTGACCCTCACTCCTCTCCTGCTGGCCCATCCAGTCCTCTCCCCACCACCCAGACCCTCACCCTCGAAACCCCAGCCATGGGTCAGTCCACCTTGGCTTTTGCTGACAAGGTTTGTCTAAGACTGAGACACTTCCTGGGGTGCCACACTTTCAGTTCTAACCCTGGGCCTATCCTAGGTAGACTGGGATGGGGGGTGATGTTACCCTGGGCAGGCAAGGTTGCTAGTAGGAACCCCCCTAGTTACCACTGGCCATTACCAGGTGTGCCCTCCAATTCCACCTGACTTACTGCTACTTGCTAAATACCAAGTTCATTTCAGCCTCCCAAAGGCTTCAACCCCCCAGCCCCCATCTCCTGCGAAAGAGAATGTTGCAGAGCCTCTCTTGTATAGAAGTCCAGTGTGAAGAGTTTTGGAGGCCCCTTGGGTGAAGGGATTCCCAAGGTTGGGTCCTGCTAGTCTGTGGTCTAAGGGTTAGGCAGGGCCCATCCTCCAAGAATAGATGCTGGGTTGAGAACCTGGGACCAGATTCTTTCTCTCAGCCTCCTTTTGCTCACCCAGTTGTCCCTGTCACCCCAGGAGGGGTCAGTAGTGAGCAAAAGGTAGTACTGTGGGACAGGGCCAGTGACCTGGCTGCTGGGTTTGGTATCCAGTTTCCCGGGCAGATGTCAAAGAAAACACTCTTCTCACACAATACATCTTTCATTAGCATCTTTTCTGGCAGTCTTGGGTGAGAATTTAGAACTGAAATGACTGGAAATGAATTCATCTTACTCTTCTCTTTTTTGGCTCCTTCTGGTCCTGCTTCTGGGGGAGAGGGAGGGACAGAGGTCCTGGAGGACTGAGGACCTCAGGCATGGGGTGTTCCTCCTTGCCCCAGCCCCCATCGCTGCCACCGCAGGCCCCGGGAGAATTGTCATGTTAATTACTCCCTGGGCTTCTGGCCCTGGCCAGCCCCGCCCTGCCCCAGAGTGACTCACCCTTTTCCTGCGATGACCGGGCGGTGCTGGAGCTCAGGCTAGGCCCACGAGGAACCCGTGCAGCCTGCTGCGCACACCCTGTAAGGGGCACGTGCCCTGGTCATTCCTGGGCTGGTGCACGGCACATTCGGGTGTGTGGCAAGGGCTGGACTCAACCTCTCTGAGCTGGGATTGGATGTCTCCCAGCCCACAGCTGGAGAGAAACACAGACACGTGGAACGCCAGTGTGGGGACAGCCACTCACGTCCCCAGAAGGCACGTGACAAAGGGGCTCTGCAGCCTGGGCAAAGTGCTGGGCAGTGCTGCTAAGGGCTCCAGTGAATCAGCTTGCCAGACATTCTGGGGCCAGTTTCAGATTCATGACATCAGTTTCAGTAGGTGTGGTGGCACACGCCTGTAATCCTTATACTTAGGAGGCTGAGGCCGGAGGCTCTCTTGAGTTTCAACGCCAACTTGGGCTACATAGCAAGACCCTATCTCAAAAACTTAAATAAATAAATAAAACTTTTATTTCTTATTCCCTTGGATTCTAAAAGTGTTAGAGTTAAAGAAACCTTAGCATCATAGTTCAAGGCCCTCATTTTAATGAAGAGACCTAGAGAGGGAGGTGATTTGACTATTATACTATGCTGTTGCTGTTAGTTAATAACAGCATCTGGCACCCTAGTGCCCAGCTCCTAACCTTCCCAGCCAGACAGGTCTGTATGAAGGAGTCAGTGTTAGGGAACTATTCTTCAGAGGAATAGGGTCTCCCTTGCGTGAGTTTGTTTGTTTTGTTTTGTTTCTGAGACAAGGTTTTTGCTATATAGCCCAGACTGACTTTGAACTCACCATCCTCCTGCCTCAGACCTACTCAGGGCTGGGATTACAGGTGTGTGCCATCATGCTGGCTCTGGAGAAAGAACTTTAGGTAGAAAAACTGGGAGAGATAGCACATGTAATCTCGGCATTCTAGGAGGCTGAGACAGGAGTGTTGCGAATTTGAACCCAGCCTGGACAATTTAAAAGACTTAGTGAGATCCTATCTCAAACTCAGAAGGTGGTGGTAGGGGCAGCACTGGTAATGTAGCTCAGTGCAAAGGCCCTGGGTTCAAACGTGATTACTGGGGGAAAAAAACTGTTTCAGTGGAATAATATGTATCATCTATAGCACACTCCTCAGGGTCATGAGAGTCTGGCCTTGTTCAGTTTGTTTCTTTCTTTTCTCTCTCTCTCTCTCTCTCTCTCTCTCTTTCTCTCTCCCTTTCTTTTCTGAGGTGGGGCCTTGCTATGTTGCCCAGACTGGCCTCTAATTCCTGGGCTCAAGTAATCCTCCCGCCTCAGTCTCCCAAGTAGGTGGGACTATAATAAGCACAATAGCACTGTGTCTTCTTGTTCAGTTTTTAAAAAGTTATTTTGCAGCTCTGTAAATTGTAGATAATTGATAATTACATAAATTCTGTCTCACCTGGTATAGAGTTGAGTTCTTTTCCAGCCTACCCACTTCATGGTGGAGGATTCACTTTTGTCTTTATTTGCAATTCATCTCAACATTCCTTTATTCTATGTCAATTTATGTGGCTTTTTCCTTCGAGCCAGTTATAATAAGGTCTATCTGGGTGGTTCCACCGCATCATTTGAGCAACATAAGTTCTTTATATATGTTCTCCCCCCTGCCATGGCAGTTGTGACTTCACCTTTTTTTTTTTGGTGCCGGGGATCGAATTCAGGACCTTGCACTTTCAAGGAAGGTGGCAAAACCACTGAGCTAAATCCCTGGCCCTGACTTCACCTTTTAGCACTGCCATACCTTGTCCACTGGACCCAGTCGCCCTGCTGTGGGATGGGAGAAGTCAAGCTGGGTGGGTCGGCCTCTGCCTCTGGACTCCAACAACACTGCTCCGTCTAGGCTTGGCCCAGACCCGGGGGCGGCAGTGAGGGTGACCAGCCTGGGTGGCTTTAGTCTGTGGGGTCTGAGGCAAAGATTGGATGACTCAAGGGCAGTCTTAGTGGTGTCTCTAGTGAATCCTGGCTGCTAAGGAGACTTTGGGGAGTTGTTCCGGAAAGCGGAAGTGGTTTGGAGTGGCTCTGACCTTTAAGAAAGGGAAGGGGTTGTGCTCCAGGCCGCCCTGCCCAAGAGCTCCACACTCTGTCGTTTTGCTGTTAAACAGCTGCTTGAGTAAAATTCACTGCCTTTTTTTTTCTTCATTGGTATTCATTAGTTATTTTTCAAACATTTAATTGCAAGAACTCATTCTAAGAAGCTTGAATTTTCACAGAGAGGTGTGAATTAGTACCCAGTAACTCAGAGCCTGCCTGCTTCACTACTTAATTTAGAGATATGCTGTTTGGAAAGGTTTTTGGTGCCAAAAAATCTTTCATTTCTGAAGTCTTTTAGCCAAGCTCAATGAAAAATATAGCCATAAATACTCATTCCAATGACTCTCCAGACCATAGTCACCGAACTTTTACACTGCATTTATTCAGGCTCCCCAGCCAAAATCTTCTGGCTCATACTTCCCAGGGTAGTGGAGAAAGTCCATGTCTCCAACATGTACACCCTCTCCTGTGCTAAGTCCTGCCTTGCTGTGTACCCCCTTCCTGGCACTCCTGGGCGAGTGGTCTGTGTGTCTAGGTGCCAAGTGGAAGCTGTGGCCCTGACTTCCTACAGACAATTTCCTGCCACCACAAACCTCTGGCTTCCTGCTTACCACATGGTGATGTTCAGGCCACAGGCCTTGGAGCTGAAGCGTAAGACTTTTGGTCTTCACCATGGGAGGCTCTGGCAGCTAGGATCTGGCTATCTAGGCAGAGCTGATGGGTGGCAACCTGCAGGGTGGATCTGCAGAATGGAATTGTACAGGGAGGGTAGGGAGGGAGATCTGGGAAGGAGATAGGGTCTCCTTCTCCACCCCGTTAATTGCTTTATAACCCCTCCATTTCACTTACACCACAGAAGCTGGTCTTGCTTTCAAAGATGTCTTAGTTACTTTTTCATTGCTGAGACAAAATACCTGACACCTACAAGTTAAAGGAGAAAAAGTTTATTTTATCTCACAGTTTGTAGAGGTTTCAGTCCCTCATCAGCTGGTTCCAAGGCAGGGTGGCCTGACAGAAGGGCACGGCACAAGAGAAGCAGTCCATGGCAGGGCAGGCAGGAAGCAGCACCATCAAGAGAGGAGGAGGGATATATACCTTCCAGGCCATGCCCACAGCAACGCACCTCTTTCTAACAGGCTTCACCTCCGAACATCATACCCAGCTGTAAACCCATCAGTGAACTAATCCAATATCACGCACCCTTGATCCAACGTCACACACTCATAATTCAGTCATCTCCCAAAAGCCCCACCTATGAACTCATGTAGCTTTGGGGGACATCTAAATAAAAGCCATAACAAAAGGCAATGCTGCATCACCTGGCCCCTAGGAGGATAGGTTAGGAGCTCCCATCTGTTTCTCAGTACTGGCCCTGTATTAGAACCAACTTGGAAACTTTAGAAATAATGATGCCTGAGCCCCATTTCAGACCATTTCAATGTGTACTTCCTGAGGGTAAGCTTGGCCATTGGTGGTTTTATTTGTGGTATATCTTAGATGCAGCAACTGCATGCACTATAATTATACAGCCCAATGAAGTCTCACACATGTATCCACCCAGGTAACTACCACCTAGATCAAGATGTGGAACACTTCTAGCCCCTGGAAAGACTCTCCTCTGCCTTTCTGGGTAGGGGCATATGTGTTATAATTTTCTGTCACTATGAGCAAATACCTGAGGAAACAACTTAAAGAAGGAAGGATTTATTTTGTCTCAATTTCAGAGGTTTCTGTCCATGGTCCTCGGGTTTCACAGGGAACCTGAGGTACCTGTGGGCTTGAGGTAAGGCAGAACATCATGGTGGACGGGTGTGGTGGGGCAAAAACTGCTCACCTCATGGCAGCCAAGCAGGAGAAAGGAAGAGTCAGAGAGAGAGAGAGAGAGAGAGAGAGAGAGAGAGAGAGAGAGAGGAAGGGGCTGGGAACAAGATATACCCTTCAAAGTCATGCCCTCAGCCTACTTCCTCCATCCAGGGCCTGCCTTCTGTAGTCCATTCTGCTGTGAACACATTGATGGGTTAATCTATTGCTGGGGTCAGTGCCCTCATGATCCAGTCACTTCTTTGTGGTCCACCTCTGCATGCTGCTGCACAGGGGCCAAGCCTTCAGGGGTGCTTCAGCTACTGATGGATGAGGTTCTCTGGCTATGTCCCTACAAATTAGACCAACAAAAGACACATCAACAAGAGAAACCAATGAAAGTCACTTGGTGTGTGCATCCTGCTTTCACATGGGAGTAGATCAAGGGGGTGGTGTGTCCTGGCATTACGTGGCATTTTAACAAAGAACAGTACATTTGTAGCGCAGCAACAAGACAAAGGAAAGGGGCTTTGAGCTCCCAGGGCAGCGAAGTGTGGGAGGAGAGACATGTGGGGACACGGAGGGAGGCTGAGGGCCAGAGAGTGAGGTTTGCTGTGAGGTTTCTCTTGTGTGTCCTGGACTGACAGGGGGCCTTCTGTCTCCAGCAATTAGCTTCTCTCCTCCCTGGAGAGGTAGAAGGGTGGACATCTTTACAAATTGATGTCCTGCTTTTAGGCAAATAGTGGGAGGGCAGAGAACTTTACCTTTCTGTCTTTTTTTTTTTGGCAGTACTGGGGATTGAATCTAGAGTCTTCACACTGAGCCAGCCCCCCCCCTTTTATTTTAATTTTTGAGACAAAGTGTCACTAAGTTGCCCAGACTGGGCTAGAATTTGTGATCCTCCTGCCTCAGCTTTCCAAGAGTGCTTGAACTACAGGTGCACATCACTGCACCTGGCTGAAAGCTTTTCTTGTATCTGCTCTTCTCAGTTGCCTCCAATTCAAAATAATCCTTAATGCCAAGTGTTATATTTTGGAGTGCCATATTCAGATCCCCTCTGTAGTAACATTAAGGCCCATCAAATCAGGAACAGGGGCCATTAGTACCTTTTCTGTGAATTTCTCAATCTTCCTACTTGCAGAAAACCCATGCCAACACTTTGGGTCCTTCTTTTGGGTCCTCTCACATGGCCTGAGGAGACAGGAAGTGTCTAGGACTCCAGGAGCTCTCTTCCCTAATATCCTCACTGTCATAAATTGCTTGAAGGTGAGAGAGCAATGGATTTAGAAGGACAGAATTCAAGTTTTTCTTAATTCAACAAGCGATGCTCACAAAGTCTAATGCCTTTGTTTTAAAAGGGAATATTTTTCTCATTTACCTTTTCAGTTTAGGAGTCTCAGCTGTGCCTAACACAAGAAAAGCCCCATACTACCTCCCTGACAGTCTTTGCGTGTCTGTGC